TCCGCAGCTCCTTTTAGTCTGTCTTTCCCGCCCTCACCCCATTTTCCCACCTCCCCTTTTTGCCTACTGGAAATTTCTCCCCTCTGTATTTCCCATTTTCTCCCGCAAATGGAAGGAAAAGTTCGCTTCAAGATGAAGCCGCAAATAAACAGAAAATGTAATTGCATGCAGTAATTTCAAGGAGCATGCCAAAGGACAGATGAAAAAGGGTGGGGAGGAGGTGAAAAACACATCCTGGTAAATGACAAAATGACTAAAAGTCCAGCTGTATGTTGCAAGTTGAAGGCGGAAATGCTACTGCCATATTGAATTTGCCCCAGACAAGTTGCTGTTGCTGTCCGGAAATGGAGTTGAATCGAAGTGGCAGGTGGATCGTGGGAGGTATATCTGTATGTATATATCATGGTCTGGCCTCAGGACCTTGCCGATTGCAAACAGGTCGAAGGTTAAGTGCTGGAACGTGGGCGTTTCTGGGAGTTATGGGCGTGGCATGTGGCTGTATATGATTTCTGAGTATTTGATTGCTAGAGTTGCAATGCCAAGCAGCTAGCTGCAGGTGCTGTTGCTGTTGCTCTTACTGTTGCCACATAAACCCAACTAGTAGAGAGTTAGAAACAAGAAACGGCTAACTAAATATGGTTGAAACTAATTAATCTATTCATTTTCAGTTTAAATGCAACAAAATAATAATAAAGTGATGTTTATACAAGTTGTTTAATCACCTAGTTTATCAACGAAAGATAATCCATCACAAGCTATCAGTTATTCATCTGATAACAATCTCAAAAGATCTGTGAAAAGTTCTCTTAGGAAATTTTAAGATTATTTTAAATTTTCTTTAAGTATGTTTCTGTGTTTCATCCTTTCATTAAGCTCTCATTTTTATTGAGTTTTCAAATGACATGACATTCTGCCCATGAACCTTTCCACTTTTCCAGGCACTTTTATTTAGAATTTAATCTTTACGAGATCCTTAAACCTTCGTTCTTCCAGCAAGAATCCACACTTAAAAGAACTCGGCTGGGAGTGTGCTCGTAAAAATAATATTTCCCCAAGTAGAGTCTCAGGAATTCCGAGTGCAACCGCGGAGGACAAAGGCTTCTGATCCCTGGGACAAACTGGGCTAAATGACAGGTAAGTGGTGGCCCAGAAAACGGGTAACAGGTAACAAGTAACCGGGTAACAAACGGCAAACATTGCCAACTTCTGGCCATATCTGGTAATGAGTGAACAACAACACCAGCACAGTGACGTGGCACCAACAACCAGTCAACCGCTCTCTTCTGCAACTCCAGTGACCTCCGAACTGCGACCTCCAAACATCCCAGTTGGTAGCAGCAGCTCATCAAATGTGGCAATGTGGCAGCACCAACGATTCCCGCACCGCCCTACTCTTTCTCATTAACCGCTAGCCGTTCGCCTGAAGCCCATGAAAGTTCCCATCAGCTTTTGCAGAGAAAGAAAATTAAGTAATATTCTTGAGAAAAGGGAAAAAATATTACATGAAAGCATGAAAGATCTCTTGAAGAAAGATTCAAGTTCAGGGATCTGAAATCTCCGAAAAAATCCTTTCTTTTGGACAAACAAACAAAGTTGAAAACATGTTATTGACTGTGTTTTATGACAATATTAGACCACTCTTAAGCTTTGCTTCTATTCTGGTAACCAGAAAGTGCATTTGATCAACTTGAAAGTTGATTTTTTTTTTTCGCAATGTGTTGGTCCTTTTGGTGTTCTGTGCAGTTCACCTGTCAGGCAGCATAATGTGCACAATGTACACGAGTATTTCGCATTTTGCCAATGTTCCTGTCTCTCTCTTTCACTCTTATGACCTGGCTAGCTATCCCTGTCTCTGTTACACGGCAATGGTCCTTCTCTTTCTGGCTGTGCTCCATCGAGTATTCAACTCGCATCGCTTGCAAAGTGACATGGCATATTTCAAGGTAAACATTCTGAATTTTGCATATCAAACGCGGGGCAGAGCAAACAGCAAACAGCACAAAAGAAGAGTGGCAAGAAGAAGAGCACTCCTACACACACACACACACACACATAGATACTAATGCACTAGCATACCAATACATCGACACACTCAGTTGGGTTTTCCACGAATTGCTTTGCAGTTGAATGAGCTGAGTGCTCCCCCGTAAGCCATGTGCAACGCGAAATGGTCTGTCTGTGCACCGTCACCGCCACTGCCACCACCACCCACTGAACCACCACCCCCAACAGTTACACCCCTTCTATCTTCTACCCCCCTAAATGGCCACCGCTAGCTGTAATTGTATAATTAATGAACGCTGCCCGCCGTCGATGGACGCTTAATGCAAATACTCGGGTGTGTGCGGTGCGGATAGTTTCCAAAAACGAACATTTTTAGAAACCGCTCACAACCGGTTAAATCTGCTGCAATCCCGTCCATCGGCATCCCCATCTCCATACCCATACCCATACCCAAATCCCTTTCCACGAGGGTTGCCAAAGCAATAGTAAACCCTCAAAAATTTACAGGAAAGATAGTTTATATCTCAAGATGCTTCTTAAGTCGGTTTTTTAAAGATTTTCCAAGCAAACTTTTGAGTAATCTTTTAAAATTCTAAGAAAATTTTAAACTTTTCACATGACCTGTAACTTCTACTAGTAAATTAACTTAATACTTTTCTCCACTTATATACATAATTCCTTTACTTGATTAGTAATTGATGGCCAGCTTTTGAATTACAAATGTTCCTTTGACATTCATAAGGCTAAGTTTTTGAGCAGAAAATGATTAAAAACTTATCATCCATTGACATGGGCGATTATTTTGTGTGAATCGCACTTAATTGAATTCGAAAATAATTGCTTAACTTGACAATGACAATGACAATGCACCACTAATGAAACAGCAAAGAGAAAATGCATATTTAAAATGATTCTCAATATTTGCCTGATATCAATTAAAACTATTTTCGATTCATCTGGCCATGCGAAATGCAGTAATTAATTGGGCAACCCGCTGGTCACACAAATTCCATCTCCATTTGGCCGTGTCCAGTCGTGTTTTTTTTTTTTTCTTTGCCTCTCTTTCTAGTCTTCTCTAGCCATCTCTATCTGTCGTTCTGTCTCGCTGTCTCTTTTTTTTCTTTTTTTTTTTTTTTATTATATGCTGCTCTTTCTCTGTCTGTCTCTGTTTACAATTGCCGCCCGCTAATTTATTTGAAAAGCCATTTGTTACCTTTGGCTTGCCTCTGTTTACATGTCCGTCCTGCTGTCCGTCCGTATTTTTATTCCGTCCGGATTTTCTATATACCCACAAATACATATGTGTACGTTTGCTTTTTAGATCTCGCTTGATGTTCGCGCATTACATTTACATTCACAATTACAATTAGCGTTAATTTAATTTACCAAAAAGAAATGAAAATGAAAAACCCAAGAAAAGCTGCCGCCCAAAAATCAAACAAAAACACAAAAAACACAAAAAATCGTTCGCTAATTGTTTAGATATGTGCATAAAAATATGTGTGTAGACATATGCCAACCCCCAATGGGCTTTATAATCAATTCATTTAGCGAAATCCGGACAAGTAAATAATGAGAAAATCGGAGAGAATAAATCGAAATTGTAAGAAAGAGAGAGAGAGGTAGATTTTATTGATACAGATACAGAGAGATCGAACAGCTGCCAATTGCCAAATGCCTCCTCCAGTCTACTCGATAATCTTATGTATGTACTGGGAAAAGATACACACATACAGACATACACTTGGCCAGTTTATTTAGTGAAAAATCGAAGAAAATCGAGGGAAAATCGGGTAAATGTGTTCTCCCTCTGTTTGTGTTTTGTTAAGCTTTAGTAAATACTTGAAAATTTAATGCCGTTTGGCCAATAATTAAGGAAAAAAACATTTCCAATAGCCCCATACACAGTGCCTCGTTCTATACTCACCCCCCCCCCCTCCCCCTCCCTTGCTTTTCATTTACACACCCAAAACGTTTTCTTTTGATAATTCGCTCAACAATCTGGCGCATATTTTGAGATATTAATCATACGCACTGTTTGCAACTTTGATTCGCCACGCAGTCAATGAAAATTTTAAGTACACGCGCAGAAAAAAGAAGAACAAGAAAAAAACGAGAAGTAAAAAAAAAAACCCAGAAAGCTCTATTTCCATTTAATCAACGAATCACTGAATCACAGGAAGCGACCAAGGGAAAACCAGTTGGAGAATGAGAGAACAAACATCAATGAACAATTAATGTGAAGACAAGTTTCGGAAAAAAAAAAAAGAAGGAAAATTGTGAAAGAAGTGAGTGAAAAATGGTGTTCGGAATGGCAAAAGAATGCAAAATCGAATTGTAAACAGTGTGTTCGATGATGGCACACAAAGCCCAAGGAAAACCATTAAGAAAGCATCGGACAAACAAAAGGCAAAAGGAAAACACTGAAGGGCCGATAAAAAATGTGAAAATCCAAGGTTGTGGTTTAAAATATTTCTGTATTTCGGTCATCCAGGGATTTATTCTTCTCCCATTCTATTTATATATCTCTTTTCAGCAAGCCTCTTTTCTTAAAGTTCTACTTATCCTTATCCCTTGAAATGCAAGCAGATTACAATTTACTATATATGTATTTTATTTTAATTGTGAAAAGCATCTCCCCATCACCTTCATTTTACTATAATAACGAAACGAAGCAGAAACTTTATATCAAACTTTTCATTTATAAGTAACTTAAAAGTACTTTTTAGTTAACAGCAAAAGGGAAGTAAATAAGAGTAAAGAACCTTTTAACATAAATCTTCTTACTTTGCCGTGAGAAAAACAAACAAAAGGAAATTCTATTAGCACTTTCCTTACTTCGAAAGTCTTTGAAATAATTTAAACATATTCTCGACAAAACTTTAGTTTCAAAAAACATTAAAAAAAAAAAAAGGAAAACAAGGAAAACCACCACCTGCAACCGTGCGTAAGCACGATATTCTTTAAAATCAAGTTCTATTGGCAATTTCACTCACCTTTTATCGCTCCGAAGGCCTTTAAGTTGCTTGTTGTTGTTTACCTTGGATTTTCTCCTTTTCCGCTTTGCTTGCCACAAACTTTTCGCTTTGTTTCAATTTCAATTTTGGATTTTTTCGAATTTTTAATTCGTATTCAGCTCGATGTTGTTGTCTTTTATCTGGTGTCTCTGCCAAAGTCACAACAATAACCGAAAAAAAAACAACAAACATTGGGTTTTTAATGGGGTGTGAGGGAGCATGTGTGTACGTGTGCGATAGAGATCGACAATATATACATATATATATATATATATATATATAGAACTATATAGAATTTCAAAACAAAAGTTGCGCGCCCAGGAAGTCCGCGATTGTTGATTGTTGTTGCTGTAAATCGCCCGTCGGCGTTCGATGCCAAAATACCTCGGGGTACCGAATGAAAAACACATTCCAAACACAAGAACTCTTTCAAAAAAAAAAAAGAAAAGAAACAGCGGAGAAAAACTAATCGGAAACTAACGAAATTATTTTTAAGAACAATTTTCAAGCAAACTTTCACTGATTATTTATTTATTGAATGGCAATAATAAAAAATGTAATCGGAATATTAAACAACCGCAAAGAAAGGTTTTTATATATTTATGAAATTATTCTTTAAAATTGAAGGTTAAATAAAAAACTCTAAGAAAATGAAGTTGAATTAAGACAGTTCATATATTAGTTACTTTTTTAAGAAAAACAATTTAATATGTTTTCCGATTGCCAAAGGGAAAAAAAGATTCTCAGAAATAAACTAAGTTTAGTGGTTTCTTAAAAGATGATCCAAAATTATGTTTCACTTTACTTATTTAATAAAAGTAAAGTTAAAAATAATAACAAGCCGTATTTTCCACAGGCATAACATTTTCTAGAACATTTTTCGAAAGATCTCTCGTTCGTTTGATTGTCAGGCACTTTTTTGATTTTTTCTTTTATGGAGAATTTAAAACTTTTAAACGTTTAAGAACTAAAAAAAAGTTTTAAAAAAATATACGAAATTTCTCTGTTTGTTTTCATTAACACGCACGGATTTAGTTAAATTATTTGAAGCTTGAATGCCAACGGTATTTAAAGTTGATTTTGGTATGGCTGCTCCTCTGGTATTTTATTTAATGGGTGTGTGTGTGTTTGTTTTAGTGGGTGGTGTGTGTAAATCGTATCGCTGGGACTCCAAGAACTACAACAACGCAGTGTTATCCGCTCGGAGGCTGAACGCCTACTGGATGTTTGGATGTTGCACGCGCCGAAAGCTTCCGCAGAATGTGCCGTTACGTTTGCCAAAGCACGCAACGCGTCGGCGGCGCAGTCAACAGAGCAGCAACGTCGTCGCTGGCAGCGATGTCAGCACGAACACGAACGGACACGACCGAAACACCGGACTGGACTCGGTAACTCAGAGGAGATTTCGCCAATCAAGTTCGTTGAAAATATGATTTTAGAGATTTTAAAATGTAAAAGGAATTTTTTTAAAATATTATACAAAATATGTATTATTATTAAAATTTAGATAATGATTATTTGCTGGGCAAAAATTAAATCCCAAAAAATATTTTAAGTTTAAAGTGAAAGAAAATGTTGGCAAAATCTCCTAGGCGTTACTTTTGTCTTTGAATAATTCTAGTTCTAGTTCTTAAATAAATTAATATTTGTACTCACCAATTTCCAAGTTGAGCCAAGTCTTTAATCTTGCCATTGAATAAGTCATAATTCACTAAAAATCAAAACAATAAGTAAAAGTAAACACCAAAATATTCTTGGCTTACCTTTTAATATGTTATTCTCTTTCCGATGCGCAAGCGCCAGAAGCTTAAAAGCAACTGAAAGAAAACAGCAACAAAAATTCATCGCGATCTGTGAAATAAACTGATAAGCAAAGTTCCGTTAGATCGAAAAGTAAACAAAAGACTCGATTTAATTGAATTAATATTCTAATAAATATCACTTTATATTTATACCTTTACGATCGTTTGATAAGCTTCTTCTTTTGGGACTTCGGATCTCCGTCAGCCAACTGCCCTTTTCCGTTAATTGCATTTTGGCCAGCATTCTCGCGGACGTTCAAAAGCGCAGCACCTCCGCCTTGATCCATAAAACATATCTGCCTGAATAATTCAAGGCAAATATAACGCAGTCTACACGGCGTCAACCGAAAACTCTACACGGCCTCGCTCACGCACTCCGCACAGTGGGCTCAAAATGTACGACTTTAACTTGATGATGTTTTGTAATGCGTAAACAGCCTTTAAATATATATACAAAACTGCAGTTAACTGCCACGAAATGTTTTAAATAATTAATCAACTTGAATTATAATTTTAATCAGTAAATGGGCATGTGTTAATTTTAAACAATTATGTTTTTGCTTTATCAAGTCGCCCACTGTGCTCAGGTGTTCTTGGTGTTCTCAATGGAGACTCTCCACGCGTAGAGTTTTGCTCTGCTGGGGAACTGCTCTTCCAGTCGGACTTCCCTTCGCCTTCCAGTCGGCTTCGTGTGCTAACAAGTGGAAAGCAACAGTTGAAATGAATGAAAACGTTCGACGCTTCTCGGTTCTCGACGTAGCCGCGGGCAGAGAAGCCGACAGTGGCGCCAGCAGCGAAGCCAGCTTCATGTGTTGCTTCTGCTGCTTCACCTGCCAAATTTAGTGGTGGTGGGCGATGGGTAGGTCGGGTAGTGGGGTATTTGGATGGTTGGCCAGTGGGTGGAGGTCGCCTTTCCGTTAGCTGTTGCTTTTTCCAGCCAGCACACTGTTGCTCTCGCTGAGACGTCTGTTTTTTTTTTTTTTTCTTTTGATTTTGTTTTTGTGTGCGGTGCACGAGGGGTTTTTGGGGTGGATTGCTCTTGGTCCCGTTAAGCAGCAACTAATTTTTGTTAATCACACCTTAATGACATGAACTTGACACCATTCCATTGCCGATGCCTCGATTTCCATAAATTAGGCAACCAAATAGACAACGTGATGCGGTTTTATGCACCTCACAAAATACTTGATAGAAGTAAAAAGTAAGTAAACGAGAAAAGCTTTTTGACTTTGATTAAGATTTTCTTAACAATAAGTCTATAAAATGACCTTGCTAAATAAAAAATACTTGCAGTAAGTATTCTCAGCTTGTTTTTTACAATCAATAATATACAATTTTTTTGTCAGTGTGTGCCTGTTTAAGCGACACTTAATTACAATGTGCCAGCTTAAGGGCAAGTACACAAACAACGGCAAATATAACGTGCAGCCCGCAGCAAGTGCAGCACACACACACACATTCAGACTAAAACGCTCACATACACACACTCACGCATTTACGCATTGATTTTAATGAGTTGCCAGGCGGCAAAGAGAACCAAATCGTTTTGACAGCCACTCGAATAAATCAACATTTTTATGCACCTTTTTTGTGATTTATGGGCGGACATTAAAGTGAATTTGCGAGAAATGACTGGCAATTAATAGACTTGTTTAAACTTAATAGTTTCGCAAGCAGCACTTAATAATAATAACATCTGCTTGGCTCATTTGATGTTAAATAATAAATGTTAATATCATTTTGCGGTTTTCAATATGATTTTTTCAATATTACACAGATTAAAAACAGTATTATTATATATTAATAATAATTGTTAAATAATAAAAAACTAATTTTAAAAACATGTCAGATGATATGCATCATCGTTAACGGCGTGATTAGGAGTAACATCAGGGTTCCTGATTTAATGCCCTCCATTGTGTTGGCTCCACCATCCGCATATTCATCAAAGTAGTTGCCATATATGGCGAAGGTCATTAGCTGGCTATGAGGTTCTCGCAGTTCCATCTTAATCCGCGTTAGGTTATCCATTTCCTCCATTGACCAGCTTAATTGAGAGGGTTGCAAGGCATACAGATTGGAGGAGCTGAGAGTGCTGGGCATAATGAGACGTCGAGGCTTGCGTACAAATTCCCCAAGGATATGCAATTCGGTGAACATCACCTCATGCTCTACCAAATGTCCATAGCTTGCCTGCTCTTCTCTGATTAGCCCACAACTTTCCACACTGGAACTGCTACAGGCAAATAGACCACATAGCCGGATGGCACTATACTGCTCCTCCTCGTAACGCCTTACGCCCACCCAAACCCCCAATCGGTAGTTATATCCCGGTCGCGTTCCTTCTAGAGTCCAGCTGATCCGGAACTCACAGCATAAATCCGCCTGACAGATTCTTTTGCTCACTGAACTTCCCTTAACCATTGGCAACTCCCAGGTTGTGAAGTTCTCCAGTTGGGGTTGCTGAAGCAGTTTCAGTTTGGTAGGATTTGTATTTTGCACTTCTAAAATCTCATCCGTGGTTATGTGCTCTTCGGGATTCAGGGGAACTTGAGCCAGGAGCAACTTCCTTTGACCCTCAGCCTCATCCGTGATCATAAGCCGGGCCAAGGCGCCCTGTTGACCAGAGTAAATCCCACTGCCACTTATTCCCGACTGAGGTAGACTTGCTCCGGAAGCCAGGAGGTTCACTCGGTTAGCCCATGCCCAACCCTGCTGGAATTGAGAGGCTGTGAAGGAGAGAATTGGGATCAACAAAATTGTTGGGAAAAATAGTAAAAAATTTACTTTTTCAGGTTTTAATGCAGATTTACTAAGAATCTTAAGCTCTGATTTAATGGCTGAAAAATCAAGAAACCGAATTTTAAGAGAAATTTGAAACTTTTACTGCGGTTTCTTAGCTCTAGCTCGGTCAAAACAAGACACACAGCTAAAAGAACGACTGTTTTGTGCTGTTAACGACCAACACTTACCTCCCCTATCCCTCGTTTTTCGATTTTGGGAAAATCAATTTTGGCCCAAATTTCGCATTTTTGATAAGGGGTACCATCATCAAAATTTTCAAAAATGGGCCAAAAATTAAGTTCTTCAGATTTGAATGCAAACCAATTGGGAATCATGGCCATTAAGTTACGAGCCCTACGAGGTATTGCATTCCTCATTTGGACCGTTTTTGGCTTAGTTATGAGAATAATTCTAAGTTTTTAATGCAAAAATTATTAAATGAAGTGTTAAAATTAGTATATAAACTAAGAAATATTTTACCTGTAAGAAAAGGCAATTCCGAGTTAAACATTTTGGTGACGATTACATGGCGGATGCCCAATTGCTCCACCAAATCCTGAGCCGGGGTATAAAACAGCATATCGAAGCAGATGAAATGGCCGAAGGTCACATTGAAGTCGGTTGTGAAGGTGGCCAGCTCGGGGGATTCAGTTCGGTTGGTAGAGGGTTCCAGGTAAAGATTCCACTTTCTATAGCGTGAGACCACTGCTCCCTGTCTATCGAACACAACATTAGTATTATGAACAACATAACCACGACTGGAACAGATAGCACCCAAAGGACAATTCTCTGGAGCCCGCTCCTTGACATTGATGACGAGATATGTGCCATATTCTCTGGCGGCACAGGCAAGTTGTCTCAGAAAACTAGCAATTTCTGGGTCATCTCCAGGCTGCTCTTCACACAGACTTTGTTGCGTAGACTCCGGCACTGCCGTCAGGGTAAGAACCGTATTTAAAGTTGCCTCCGGAAAGATCACAATATCTGTGGTGCCATTAGCCGAAGCCAAGAGCTCCAGATAACCAGCCAGATTGGCCTCCAACAGCTGTTGTGAAGTACCGCCCATTATCGCCGGCCGATACTCTGCCACACCAGCTGTATAAAAGCCATCGGTTCCAGCGATTGCACTTCCAACTGGAAAAACACTGAGCCAGAGAAATCGGCGGAGAAATCCAATAATCGTCTTCATAGTTCAACGAACGTAGACCGACTAATCCCAACCGGTTTTCCACGTTTCGTTTTAGCCATAATATATATATATTCCCACGCCATATCAGGCATTTTTCATTGTTAAATGCATGCCAAGATTTTAATATCTAATCGGTTTTAATTGGTAATCAGTATTATGTCAAAAGATTAGCGCATGAATAAGTCTTTTAAAGCCTTTTTTGAGGTAGAATTTTAGGCTTTCCTCATAAATTTTACACACAAAATATTAAAAACGCCTAAAAAATGTTACAAAAATGAACAGAAACAGAATTATTTTCATATTTTTGGATTATGATAACCGCAAGCCAGTTGCTCTTCGACAGTTCCCACGCCATAAGTGCAATCATTATAGTAATAATTGCCGTAAATGGCAAAGGTCAAGAGGTGACTGACCTCTTGGGCTTCCCTTAGAGCGAATCTCACTTGGTGGCTAATAGAAAAAGGAAGAAAAATCAATTACCTAAATAGAAATCATAGACAGATTCAAACTTACGTATCCCCAGAAGGCTGTTGCTGGGCCCATTCGAACTGCTTGGGCTCCAGAGGCATCAGATTATCCAGCAGGGTGTCGGGAAAGAAGAGGAACTCCCTGGAATGCGGATAGTTAACCCGGATCTCCAGCTGGGTAAAGGTCACCAGGGAGTGCTGAGCATCAGGCAGCAGCTGACCACAATCATCTATGGAATCCCCAGAGCAGGTAAACAAGCCACAGTTCCTTATATAGTTGACATCCAGTCGCTTCTCATTCCGCCAACCCTCAAAAAGGCCCACTCGATATCTATAGTAACTGCTGTTCCCTGCAGGATTCTCTAAAGCTCTCCACGCGGCATCGAAATGGCAGCAGAGGCCACCATGACATAGAATCTTGCTAAAGTTACCGCTCTTCCCAGCCTCGATTTGCAGCTCTTCGGTGGTGAAGTTCTCCAGGTAATCACGTTTTATATTGTAACTCGAATTGGTGGCCACCTGCCGGGCGAGATCTCTTTTTATCCGCCTCTTGCCTTGATATTTGGGCACTCGGGCTACATATATAGTCCGCTCTCCGGAATCCTGACGCATCACACTCTTCAGTGAGCCACTGCGTCCTTGGTAAATTCCAGAGCCGCTGGCACCTAAAGTGGGGTCACTTGCTCCAGCAGCCAGCAGATTCACATCATTGGCATAGGCCCAACCCAATTGGATCTGAACGGCTATTAATGAGAGAACAAGTACCATGATTAACTGATAATTAATAATCATTATTAAATTTTCCTCAGTTTTAAATATTCGAAAGCCGATTGCTAGCCATACCCACTCGACCGCTGAACGCTGAGGGTACTCAATCTCAAGAGCTTCTGAGGGCCATCAATTAGCAATCACTCGACCCAGTTAATGGACCTATGTCAATGAACTGACCCACTTGTCACCCCTTTGTATATGACTCACCTGTGAGAAATGGCAACTGAGAGAACCACATGGCCGGGTAGACAAAATCCGTGACTCCCTGATCCACCAGCTGATGGGCTGGCGTATAGAACAGGATGTCGAAGCAAATGAAGTGTCCGAAGGTCACTCCAAAATCCGTTTCGAAAGTACTCAATTCCGGCAGATAAGTGCTGTTCTTGGGTTCACCATACAGATGCACCTTTCGGTATCTGGACACCACCACTCCCTCACGATCGAAGACCACGTTGGTATTGAAGACATTCAGTCCGTTAGAAGCACATGGTCTCGTGTCCTCCGGTACATCCTCGCACTTCTGCTTCTCGGTGAGATTGATCACAATGTACTTGCTGGCATTGCGGGCTGCACATGAGAGGGTCACGAGGAACTCTTCATAGAGGGTTAAGTTAGGATCACTCAAACAGGGATTTATCTGATCTTCGGGTTTGGGTACAAAGGTCGTTGGACCCATGTCGTTGAGCGTGCTCTCCGGGAACACAATAATATCAGTCAGGCTGGCATTCCTCGACTGAATGATCTCCACATAGGCGGCCAGATTATCGGACAATAAATTTGATGGCTTAAACTCCACAACGCCAGCCGTATAGTAATCTCTTCTACTCTTCAAAGGTCAAACAAGAAAGGTCATTATATAAATATGAGTAATTATAAGAGAAAAGATTTCGATCTTAACACACCTGCTGACTCAAACCGAACATCAACCCTAGGGTTAGGGACAGCAGGAAAAACCCCCAATAATTCTTGGCCATGTTTTTTGGCCAGTTAGAGATTGGCAAATGACTTGCCAACTTCCTAAACTTGCTCTTTTTATAGACATTGCCAAAATAACTTAATCTTATCTGCCGGTTCTGCGGGCGAAAACAAACTCTGTCTGGACATGGTGGATTAGATGGTCTCACATTCTGACAGCCAAACTAACTAAGGAGATATTAACTAGTGCCAAAACATAATTTATTAGTATTTTAAGCTTTAAATATAAACTAAAATCTACTTTGCCTTTAAATAGTTTCAAGAAAAACCAATTTAAAATTATTATAAATCATTTTAAGCAACAAACAAGTCACATCACACTTCAAATCAAGCCTACAAGTATATATCAGTTTAATGGACTGCCATTATCAACTAGGTAATCGACATTATCAACGATGACACGTGATTGATAGGCAAACAAACTTGCTAAGCGTTTCGATGCAAGAAATAAGAATTCCCAACTAATGCTGACTTTTAGGCTGTTCGAAAAATATTTCTAAAGGCAAATTTCATCTGCAAAACTTTTATTCCATCACCAATATGTGTTTTGATATTAAACGATCCTGAAGATCATGAACATGATGAGGAATATCAAGCCCTTCTAGGCTATTCCAAATCATTTACAATATATTTTATGTGCTCATCCATTTCCGAACGAATGTACAGACACGGCATTGAATTCTCTGTAAACGTTTCCCTTTTCTTCAAATTCGATAGGTTTAGAGCTCTTTGGAGACCATATTTTTGGTCTACGTAAAAGGTCACGCACTTGAGGTTTGTCAAATGGGAAATAATGCCATTTAGTTCCTCAATACGTAATAAGATATGTTTCTCCCAAATCAAACGTTCAGCATTGAAGGTTTCAAAGTTAATTATCAATCTGAACTTCTCTTCCAGTTTGGTACTATTGTCCTCCACTGCTGTCCGTATTTTGCCTATCCAGTTGAGGAACTCAGAGTTATTCCTCCAGTTTCCTTGAAAGTTATCCAGATAACTCTGAAGTTTCTTCGTTGCTGCTTCATTGACCTGGCCAAGAGGATCGCTCTCTATAGGAGTTGCAGTTTGCGATCTTCCTTGGGTAATGACAAGCCCCAGCAGAAGGAGAATCCATATTCCCGACATCTTCATAGGTTTTAAGAGCTTCCGAGAACTTACTGACATTGCAAAACCAAGAACTTTAACTTTATAAAGGCAGCTTGTAGTAACCTGGAATGTCTTAATTTAGATAAGATTTACCTGCGGAATTTCTTAAGTCGTTAAGTTGTTACTTTAAGTATATTATTTTTAGCTGTGGAATTTATTTCATTAACTTTACTTTCTCTTTAACTTTTTGTAGAAGATAGATAGGAATTTTTGATAATTATAAAACATATGCCATGACCTTAAGGCACTCAATAAAAATCAAGAACTAAGTTGCAACCACCAACTCTTAAGTTAAAATAAATTTATAAACAAGTTGGCAACTTATTAAATTAGTTTTTAATTTTATAAATACTGTTATTATCGAGCTATAAGTTACAAAAAAAAAAAATCAAGGGCCTTCCCTAAGATAAGACCCTTAGATAAATATAGAACTTTGATCTCCTCAAGCCTTGACCGAGGCAAGAAGCAGGATAACCAGCGGCATCATAAGCCATCCCCCAAGGTTCGTTAGCCTTGCAGCTCCACTTCTGTAACCACAGGATAGTTGCTCCTCCTCAGTGCCCACACCAAAGGTGCACTCGTTGTCATAGTAATTACCATAGACAGCGAAGGTCAAAAGGTTACTCAGCTCCTGGGACTCCTTAAGGGCGAAGCGCACTTCATGCACGTAGCTAAAGATCATTCAGATACATAAGTATCTTGATTAGACAAGTATCTTATTTAACTCACCTATCTTCTGTGGGCTTCTCCTGTGACCACACAAACTGATTCGGTTCCAAGGGCAAGAGATTATCCAGCAGGGTGTCGGGAATCAGTAGGAATTCCCGGGACTCTGGATAGGTGACTGCAATCTCCAGGCGTGTGAAAGCCACACGAGACTGCTGCAGCTCTCCGTCAGTGGGCAAAAGCTTACCACAATCATCAATAGAATCACCAGAACATGTGAACAATCCGCAATTACGAATATAATTGGCATCCACTTGCTGCTCGTTGCGCCAACCGTCATAGGTTCCCAACCGATAGGTATAGAAGCTACCATTCTCTACGGTACCCTCCAAGGATCTCCAGGCTAGATCGAAGTTACAGCAAAAGCTTCCCTGACATATGGTTCTATTAATAGCACCACTAGTACCCTGATCCACCTGAAGTATCTCAGACTCGTAGTTTTGCAGGTAATCTCGCTTCATATAGAAACTGCTAGTCGAGGCAACCTGTCGGTTCTTGATCTCCGGCGTACTCCTTCTCTTGCGCTTTTGGATTGCCTTACTGCGAGTATACTTGGGCACCTGGGCCACATAGATGGTTCTCTGACCCGAATCCTGACTCATAACACTGACCAAAGTGCCAGAACGTCCATGGTAAATGCCAGAACCACTGTTACCAATCGATGGGCGACTAGCTCCAGAGGCCAGAAGATTCACATCGTTGACATAAGCCCAACCCTGTTGGATCTGAACAGCTATTGAGGGAAAGATAAGAACGAACACAGAGGTTAATAAGCTTTAAGAATAATCAATAAAGTTCCTAAGCTTATATCTTAGCTTATTCCAACTTAGTCATGCACATCTTTTCTACGTAGCTCCCAAGATAAGACTTGCTTGGTAATTACAGGCCATTGCCATTGCTCCTTAATCTCCTATCCATTAACGACTTTGTAGTCTTTACAACCTGCGTATTTTTCCCGGTGCATAATCGTTTCATGGCACTTCATCTCGAGAGGTGGCGAGAACCATCAATTAGCCATCGATTGGTCGTGATAACGAACACATGTCAATGAACTAGCCTACACTTTCTTTATCACTATGTCTCACCTGTAAGGAAGGGCAGTTGGGAGAACCACATGGCCGGGTAAACAAAGTCTGTGATACCCTGCTCTTCGATTAGCTGATGGGCTGGCGTATAGAACAGGATGTCGAAGCAGATGAAGTGCCCGAAGGTCACTCCGAAGTCCGTTTCGAAAGTACTCAATTCCGGCATGTAGGTGTTATTTTTGGCCTCGCCGTACAGGTGAACCTTTCGGTATCTGGACACCACCACTCCCTCACGATCGAAGACCACGTTGGTATTAAAGACATTCAGTCCGTTAGAAGCACATGGCCTTGTGTCCTCCGGAACATCCTCGCACTTCTGCTTCTCGGTGAGATTGATCACAATGTACTTGCTGGCATTGCGGGCCGCACATGAGAGGGTCACGAGGAACTCTTCATAGAGGGTAAAGTTAGGATCACTCAAACAGGGATTTATCTTATCCACAGGATTGGGTACAAAAGTCGTAGAACCCGCGGAGTTTAGGGTACTCTCGGGAAAGACAATGATGTCCGTGGCACTGGCATTCTCAGAATTTATTATCTCCACATAGCCCTCGAGGGCGTCTGCCCAGGCAGACAAACTGAGGATCGACTGTCGGAACTCCACAACTCCGGCCGTATAGTAATCCGAATCGGCCAGGGCTGCCTGGAAATGAGTAGAATCATTCAAAATAAATCAACTAATTGAGGAGATCCTAATCCCAACCTGCTCACTCATGCCAGGCATTAGCCCTAGGATTAGGAGCACTAGAAAAAGCTGCCAGCAATTTTGCAACTTTGCCATTTCCAAGAGACTCTGAGAATTGCTAATGACTGGCACAGCTTCAGGCATCGAGGCTTTTATAGGAGCTCTTAGGAGCGGCAACCATTTACCGGGAACTACTTAATCTTATCTTGCGGGTCTGGTCTGGCGAACATCGAATGGTTCGCTCTTTCTAGTGCTGACTTTATTTTAAATGCAACCATAAAATGTAGAAATAAACAAGTTACAAGTTATATGAATGAGATATGATATCGTTTTCTATTTATAAAAATAAATTATTAAAGAAATATTTCCACTTTCCTAAGATCTTACACCATTTTAACCTTTAAAAAAACCAGAAAATATCTGAACTGCCTGAACTAGATCGGCTAAATCGCTGATTTCTGGTAGTCTTTGTGGGTTATTCTGGTCTTGCGTTATTCTTGGAGTCATGTTCGCAAACCGTGAGCATGATTAGTCGGTTCGCAGCGATGTACATTGGACTGGTAGCGCTTGGGCCAACTATTTTTTCGCCATACCTTATCGCCACACCTCAGACTATCCAAGTCCGATGTTCTCTGTACTATACTATAAGCAATAACCATTCGATACTAGACGTTAACTTCTTTATCAGCGCGACCTGCAAATAAATCAATACATTTCTCTCGATTCTTACAGAAAAACATTGATTTTTATTTGCCTTCATTAAATGTTTACCATTCCATTACCGCAATTGGTGAAATAAATCAGAGATGTTCGTAATTAGTGTATCCAGGTTTTCTTCTTTGATTTTCCTCTATCTTTATGGCTTGGCCAGGTTCCTTTTATCAGGAAGGTAATACGGTATTTATTAGCCAAACGTGTTGGCCATAAAGATTTTGATGAAATTCGCTGACTTGCTGATGCTTCTCCTTTGGTAGTTAAGGAAAGTTCGAAATTTTTATATCTCTAAGTATCCAAATTTCCATTGACATTATCGAATTTATCTTTAGTTATCAGAACTATCATAAAGCTATCTAAATTTTTATCTCCACCTCTCTCGATGTTATCTGCAATTACCTTTAACTTTCGTGTCCAACAACGCTGGGCAACAAGATAAGAAAGTGTTTTGGCAAACGTTTTTGATTTTCTGACTTAACAAGGTTGTGTATAACACTTTGTTTTAAAGGATATTACTTTTTAAATATCTAAATTCTTGAATATCTAAATTGATAACCAAATAAATGTTAAGTCTGAGAAACAAACTCTAACTATCCAGCAAGAGACATAAATACTGTCCCTATTAGTTTACCAAACTTAATCCCATCTATCCATAGATAAAGTCTTAACCAAAGTCAGCCAAGGAAGTAAGAGGCATCCATCAGACGGCTAATTCAGGCCACAATCTGCCCCATAAAGTTCTCAGCCGGCACTTGACTGGGCTTTAGGTCGACATCATTGCTCCACTTTGAGCATTATCGGGTTTCTTTTTTTTTGTGTAAGGAGGTGTATTTGGAAAGATTTATAAGTAAATATATATATATATATATATATATATAAATAATTTTCGTGCGAAGATAATCCGTAAACGTGCAGCCATCTCGGGACTTAATGCATTTCCATACGCTTCACTGCAGACTCAAAGCCCCCGGAAAAAGTATGGCTCGTGTTGGGGGTGGATGCAACATAAATTCGTTGGGGGGAAACACTCCTAACAAAGTCTACTCTCCATCCGCAAAACAGCAGCCTGGCAATCCTTTCCGCTCCTTTTTTTTTTTGCTTTCCCCACTCCTCTTGCTCTTTGTCCTGGCAAATTGATTTGCGGCAAGAAAAGTGCGCAAAAACTTGGAAAACCAGGCTGCTGGGGTGGGAAAACGAGAAACGAAAAACGAAAAAAAAATAAAATTAAAAAATAATGTTTGAAAATTTCTTGGTCATATATTTTAAATACGAAAATTTACCCAAGGGAGTCGAACCGTGCGCACACACACAGCCATACAAATACCCAAACACACACACACACACACACAGAAACCTGTTACCTGCTCATTTTATGCGCAAAAAGAAACGAACGGTAAAACACGTTAAAAGCTAAGACGAGGACCCAACAACAACAACAAAAGCAACAAAGGTGAAGGAAGGAGAATGGAAAGAAAAGAAGTGAAAGCATAAAAAGGTAGAAAGGAAAAACTGTCCCTAGCTAGAAGAATAACGTTATACTCTATCGATTTCAATTTATAAGCCATAATGAAAAGAAACAATCGATAGAATCGATAACTTAATTAGTTGTATATCAAAAGAAGAGAAAACGTCTTAAAAAATCGAAACCTTCATAAACTAATATCTTTTTATTACACATTCAATCAGTTTTATCGATCGGTTTATCGGTTTTTAATCGATTTATAATGATAACAAAGAAAAGAATCAATCGATTACATCGATAATTCAATTAGTTATATATCGAAAGGAGAGAAACTTTCTTAAAAATCAAAACCTTCATAAACTAATAGCTTTTTATTCCTCCTTAAATCAGTATATTATCGTTGTTTATCGATTTATAATCGTTTTATAACGCAATTAATCGTTCAAATTGTAATGCGAACCAAAATCAGTAACAAAGACACAGCTTCATAAATTATATACTTATAAAAAAACGTGTTTGATAAGTTTGATAACAAACCTTTTCTTTATCAGTCAAATGCCTTATCAAAAAAAGGCATAAAAATGTTGTGATACATTTTTCGATAACAAGTTGACTGATAAACCAAAAATCATAAACATTTTCCAGGCTTGAAAATACCTAGCTAACCGAATGAAAAGTTAGGGAAACCCCCCGGTAAAGAAGGTAAAATGGAGGCAGCTTCATTTAGTTTTTGGCCTGTTTCACATATGCATATACATATACTTATATGTGCATATGTATTTCAAGGGGGTGGTTGTGTGTGGGTGTAGGAGTATATGTGTGTGTTTCTGTAGCATGGCATTCGTTGCTACTTATGTTTAAGCTTCGTATTTAAGCTTTTTGCACGATTTCCTCTAACAAATGGATTTTCACTTGTTGCCCAGCCAGACGAACGAAGCCATCACATACAACCAAACACACATAAATGTGGGTCTCTACACTGAAAGAAATTACTTAAAAAATGAAAAGGGAATTTCATTTGATAGGTTTAATGAATTGGGAACTCCTTTTGAAGAAAGAAAATTACATTTTAATTAAAGAATCAGTTTAAACTTATTTCTTTCTTTGCTGCCAACAGGTTTCTTCTCACAACTTTCAATACTTTTTGTCTAGAATTGCTAACAAAATTGCTTAACCATTTTCTGTCAGTGCTCACGTGTGTGTGCTATCCTTATGGCCTTGTTGTCAGGCTCGTTTTTTTTCTTAGATCTCCTTCCTGGACTCCTTTTTCTCGTTTGCCTCGGCTAACAAATAATTTAATTTCTTGGGTCGTCTTTTATACTTACTCCTTGCTCCGTGTTCCTTGTTCGTTGTTCCTTTTTTTTTTCTAGCCATTTTGGCTTAGTCCTGGGCATTCTTTTCTGCGGATAATCAGGTCAGGACTACAACCTCTCCCTGTCTGCCATTTATCGATGACCGGGGATGCTCTCTCAATCATTGATTAGTCAGTCCACGCAAATCATATGGAAAAAGTCGGTGTTGTTTGGGTAAGCGGAAGGTTGTTTTATATATATATATATATACGAGTATATGGCATAAGTTCAGCCTCGGGTCTTTGGAGTTGGTAGATTTTTGTCTGCTTGATTAATTGCAATTTTGTTGTGCCCTGAGCCGAGCAATTTGTTAGACGGAAAAGCGGAGAAATGTAAATGAAAGTGTGGGTATGAACACACCATAAACCATATACCATTCACATGCAAACTAAAAAGTATTATTAATGATGCCAAACCGAAAGGCAGGCGGAAAGGCGTCACTTTTACTTCTCAGTCAGTATGCCTGCATTTGACATCGCTCATACGACGCGTTGTCTGAGATTTATGTCAAGACCCAGGATTCGACGAAAAGTGGCAAAGGGTGTGAAGTGGGTCAGTGGCATGCAAACTGGCTGGCTGATTAATAACAAACGCTTAAATCCGACAAACACAACACACACACACACACACAAACAGCCACAAAAACCAGTGACGAATTATTACGCATACGCACTCGGAAAATGAACTGTATCCACATACAAATACGATACATATGAGTGGGTGGAAAAGCTTGAGAAATGTGTTTACATGTGTGCGATTAGCCGCTTGTTGTGGCAACATAAAATATCCAAGGACAAAGTGAAGTTGCAACGGAATCGAAGTTATATTGCGGTGAAAGGTACATGAAATGTGGTACAAATTGAAGGCAAAACTGAGGAAAGTTAAAGCAGAAATTTAAATTAAATATAGGAAAATTCAAAGAAAAATCAAAGGTAAGTTCTAGAGTGAAAATAAAAACACTCTATTATTATTTTTCTTAGATAAAAAAAGAGGTCTTCTCGAGGACAATCCTTGACCACTTAATCAAATCTTGAATTACAGGTGTTATATAGTAGAGGCCATGGGAATTTGTCAAATTTAAGCACAAGTTCAGTGTTATTGAGCTGTTATGTTAATCCTTTGTATTGGGAAACTGTCACTGGATTTTCCCCGCCCTTTTGCCACACCCCACGGAAATCCCCCGTAGGTTATATAGCTGGCCATGTCAGGCATCTGATTTATAGCCATGTATGTGGCACGACCTCCCACCACCACCATCACCTACGACCAACTCCTGTCTTGGTTTAATAGCCTTAAACGCGACGGCTAATAAGTTTTCCCAGCCGAGAATGCCTGGCTGCACTACTCGCACATCCGCAAAAGCCAATGACTTGCCGTTTGCCTTTTGCTCTTCGAGATTTATTGACATATAAATTTAATGCCTCTCTCTCTCTCTCTTCAGTCCGTCCATCGACCAGGCCAGCCTCACAACAAAGTTAGGAGCAGTTGATTGAATGCGCTTTACTGCCTGGATTTCCGTTAGTAAATTGAAAAAGCTCCAAGGGGAAAAAAGTCGTACGTAAAAAAAAAAAAAGT